GCATTCGATCGAAGTTGCTGATAACGTGAGAGAAACCGAGTACCGAGTTCCTGCTAGCAAGCGATCTGCATTACACTTTATTCTCCTTTCCATTTATATTATTTATGCGTTAAACTACTTAACTATGATGGTACAGAACACTGGGTCGCAAGCCCGAAATGGCATAACTAGGTCTGTAAGTGGACAGAATCTAGCTGGTGCAGAAAAGATGGGCGCAGCAATGCTCACACCTTCTGAGATCTCCACAGCGCTGTCACACCAGACGCGGCATTTACTAAAACCAGTAAGCTCATGTCGTTGGATTGATGGTAAAACGTCCTCAAAACTCCCGTATGCAAAACTTAAGCACGGGGGAAACGCGCATGTTGAACAACGAACGCACTGATACACGCTACGCTTGGCCTCACCTCACAGAAAACGAACCACCCAGTCAGCAACGAAGAGCGAACCTCTGACAACTGTGGTGTTTTCAAAGAATCAGTGTCAGAGGCTCACAAAGCCCTTGTGTTCAACGTGCGCCAAAATGGGTACACTGCAACTGTGATGGTGGATTTCCAGGCCAGTATTGCAGCTTCATGAGGAAGCACCCACGAAAGTGGATTTGGTATACGTGTTCAGAATGTCAGAAGTTACTTGCTGTCACTACCTGCAAGCTGGAAAGCCTGCTACAACCAGATATACTGCAAAGCACGAGCTTTCATGATCCCTCAGCAACCGAGCAAGCCCCACAAGTGTACAAAGGTGTCACCTCTAGAGATAGAAACTAGCTCCTACTTCAAGCAGGGTACCGACGACTTCCCCACTGGCGCCAATGGAGCCAGAACGATCCAACGGAGATGGACAACCTGAAGAAGTAGGTTTTGTCGAGGTCGCATGGGCGGAAGTAAGTAGGCCGAAAGGTAGACCGAAAGCACTGGCTACCAAGCCAAGCATCCCCACCTACAAGACAAAAGAACGATCTCCACCACCCTGTCCAACGTCCAAACGCCAACGGACTCACCTTTGGAAAAAAGAGAACGGCCCGACAAGGAGAAATGAGACAACTGCTGTGGAAAGTCAGGAATAGAGACCATAGCTGCTAGCCCGTTCCGGCCTTCCTGAGGACGTGGAGCACCTCGAGACAAGCCACCATCTCTTTGGGTATCATCAGGGACGACGAAACAGTTGGAGAACAGGCCGCAGCTGTCGCGCCGGCCAGATAGTGTCAGCTTCTGAACCGAGATAAACTTTGGGTCACCCGGGGATGCGGCGAGAAAGCCCTCACCTAGCAGTATATACAAAGCTGCAACCGTGGTGTTGCAAAGAATGCCCAGACTGGCGAGCGGATCCCTAAAGTGTGTCAACTACCCCCATGATGATGAGTGGCAGGGAAGGCTAGCGGCAAAAATGGGACTTGAAGATTTGCCTGCCGGCTGCTTAGGTGGGTTATTAGGAATTTCACACCTGCAGAGCACTTTCTTGTCAAAATTGTTGGCTTCACTTTTTGGCTCCAAGGCATCACTAACAGAAGCTCTCATGGCATGGCACGGTGTAAAAGATGGAACAGGGGGTGCTATACGGTACTGCGAAAGTATGCCACGGTCTGCCGGGCTGGAAGTTCAGTAGATAGTTCTCCTGCGACCAGTACCGTTCAGAGTATTCTCGGCTGTCACCTCCTATCTTCCAGCCCGGCTACTGAGCGAGTACATGAGAGCAAATAGCTTACCACGAACATTTGTCAGTAGCAACTGATGATATGCTCTTCCATTCCGGTACTCCATAACCACAGTATCCGCGATAGGATGCATCCCTTCTCCCCAATATAATCAGTGACATTTATCCTTCCATAAGCATGTTTCACACCTCTTTTTCCCATCTCCCACCCACCCTATTTCTAGAACTTTTTAAGTAACGCTTAATACTTACTTGGGGGACTTACAAAAACAGGAATTGCAAAAGGTTGATTGACCTTGTCAACAGCTACGTTACCCTCCCCAACAGAAACTGAGCTACGATCTGCAAGCGAAATACCTTCAAACAAACAATTGCTACCTCCGAAGCTATAGACAGAAAGAACGCAGAGACTTCTGTAACCATCAAGGGAGCGCACCCGAACACAAAGAACCGAGCCTCAGGACTTAGAAGCGAGATCTCGGAAACAGTAAGCTTCCTCTACTCGCATTATCGACGCTGGATTGTCCAGTGTATTGCCAGGAGCAATTCTGGGCCCGTCGTTGTTCTTGCTGCTGGTGAATGGTCTCCTATTGCATATCGGCTCTTCAATTCTCCTTAACACCGGCGACGTCAATTTATGTGGAGCAGTGATATGGAAAGCGAAATCGAGTACTCAGCAGGACGACGTCAAAACACCTGAGAAGTGGGCCAAAAACAACTGATTTGCACTTGACCTGGATAAATGCCGGCCCACGTTTTTTCCGCACCCCTGATCCGCTGAAAGTATCCTGCCCTCTCCTTGGTCCACATCCAGCTTATAACTCCACAGAGGAAGATCAGGGCTTAATGCTGGCGGAGAAATCGGACACTAGTACCAAATACCCGAGAGATGCCTCGAAAGCACACGCTATACTACACTTTTTGCGTAGACAACTAAACGTCCTCACCTCAGAGCTCTTTTTGAAACTCTACAAGACCTATAAACGACCCCACTCCGGGGCCTGTAACGTCCTCGTCTCGCCGCACCTGAAAGAAGGCGCACGCCTCCCGGAGAAATTCCAGAGGCTAGTAAAAGAGGGCGTTGTGGGGTTTCACCAAAAACCATAGGAAGACAATGATGTATCCATCATTTGCAACCAACCCCGTTTCTCACAGTAAACATGGATGGTGGCTAGCAGTGGAATCCAGGATGCACATTTCGTCCTCTTCAAGACTCGTCAGCTGAATGCATGAAGACAGAATAAAAAACTTCGGCCTTCACTCTCTTGGTCATCGAAGGTCACAAGACGATTCAACAGTGGTCTACAAAACACTAAATAACCCGTCACACGAACGGTGAATACTATCAAGTAGCCTCCATAGTGATCCTCACGGAATTTCAAGGAGAGTTGCCCACCACAGGTCAAAATTTTGCTTGCGTTCACACTTCTCTCTTCGAGTCTGCGCGGCTGGGGTGCATCACTAGCAGAGGTAGTCTCCCCTCCAACTCTCGACAGTTTCAAGAAAAAACAAAGTTACGCTCTGACCCATGGTTTACACTCATCAGGTTGAAATACAAACTAGACTGAAGAAATCAATCGTTGTTACACCGTTCCAACACTGTTACCTCTACACTAATTCTCTTCTTACCAAAATCATATGAGTGATTTATATCTTTCTTACTCGGTATGATTTAACCCCACCTAAGTTCTCCCTATCTTTGCATCCCTCTTGTCTTATTTTGGTGTATACCGACTAACCCATTTCATTTTCCTTTTCGTTTAGTGACGTACATTTGCCCTCTCAGATAGGCTCTTCAGTATCCCCAGCTCTGCCTTGCGACCACTTCGGACTGCTACGCAGCGACTTGACATTCGGAGGACCCTACTGCATTGCAGTTCCGGAAAACTAACCAACACCCAACCACCTGCTGAGTATGCCAGGGCCGTTGCGGACGAGTGGCTGGATCTGCTGCACTGGAATCCGCCAGAGACCGGGGACCATTCCAAACGACCTAGAAACGAGCACCAAGAGATAGACAGGTTCACACAGGCTGCCTAACCAGTTATTGGACGACGGAGAACGTCCACAAAAATGAGTGCTGATGTGTTCACTCTCCCGTGCGAAATCCTCAGTTAGGTTCAGCCTAGAAAACTGTGCACAAGTGGCGGATCCTTATCTGAAATGTGACTCAGAAATTTTCGAAACAGTTCAGAAAAAAGCCACTGGTGTGATACCAGGGATAGCTAGCCTGACCTTCGAAGAACGACTTCAGGGGCTGAACCTCTTCTATCTACTTTATTACACACCAAAAGATCTAGCTCTGCTGTACAGGGTTTCCAAGAAATGAATTGGTGGCCGATTTCATTTTACTTTTTCCTCCCACCGGGTGGGAATGCAGAGGATATAGGAGGAGAATAAGAAGTCAAAGGAGGCACGTATTTTCAATACAGCACTAGTCCTCGTGTCAGATAATTAATACCTGGGACCGATTATAAAAGGAGGTGGCATCTACGTCATCAAATGACTAGTTCGAAAGAGGGTTTGACAATCACAGAAATCCACCGGAAAAGGATCAACACGGTCTCATGGCCTTCTATTCTCAAACTACATATCTGAATTTGAATTCATCCTTTCCATGCATTCTCGTAAAAAGAGCAATTTGAGATACACGACCAAAGCCATGAAACCTTATTTCCAACATCGAGCTAGACAAAACGGCTTTAGAATATAGGGATCAAAGTGATGGGATGGTTTTGAAGTTTTTCCTATAACCCAACGGATCAGCTACATCAGTCCTGTAAGTCTTGTCGGTAACTCAGACAAGATCTTGTAGTAGTATTCTCTACCTTGAGAACAGATTAAGGTGATAACTTATGTCGGTCACTTCATCTTGTCTGCCCTCAGCATGTAGGAAGACATCAACTTATAGTTTGAAAATTGCAGTCAAATCTATGTAAATAGTTTCGTTTCTTCTACTGCACTATAGAGGATTAGAATTTCGTTCAAGAGGACGTACTTTCAGCACCTTTGATTGACTGCTTCAAAGCTATATTATTACTTCTCTGAGCTGAAAACCACGGAGAAAAATGTAGAACACATATCGTGCTATCAGTATATCTGGAAACCAGACAAGTCCTATCAAGAATGTTGAACTTTCTTTTTCAAGGGTTCTTATAAAAGTCATATGTGAAGTAGTCTGAATTATACAGAACTTGGCTTCTTTTATTGTTAATGCGAGATTCAATGGTACTATTATTTATTGAATTTAGGCAGACGGACTATGAGATTTTTGTTTATGTGTCTCGAAGACTCGTTCCAGTTTTTGATTATGCACAATTGTCGTTGTTACTGCTATTGTTACTAATATGAACTCATCTGTGATTGTGGCTGTCAGGCTGCGGCCGTTTACAAAAGAGTAGGTCTTTTTGCACTATGGTTCATATCTTTAGTGGGGCTTCAGAGGGACCTGTATGTCCCGTTAGTATGCCCAAACCAGGTACTGTTCACCTGAGTGAGCCTAATGCCAAAAGCAATAATATTCGCGAATATAAATTTGACCACACGTTTTGGTCACTGGACAGAGAAGCAAGGTCCGTACCATACGCCAGCCAGGAAGTGGTGTACAATACACTTGGATTCCCTCTACTACTGAAGGCCTTAGAGGGTTACAATACATGTATTTTTGCTTACGGGATGACTTCTTCAGGTAAAACATACAGGTAGGAATCTTCAATACCTCCGACCACACTGTTTTGCATTATGGTTGCCTAAATTCAGGCATTTAAAGTTACTTAAAGAATGTATGTGTATTAGTCATGTGCTGAACTCACTACCGCGAGAGGAACCCAATCTATAGATGCAGTATACTACATGTTGTATTCAGTGATAAGGGAAACAAGGTAGTTTTCCTACGTTAGTCCTTGCATTAGATGTACCTATAGAGACCTAGTTTCTTCTTGAACGCGTCCACTGAGAAAGCTGATATCACTTTCTAAGGCAGTGAGCTCAAGTCGTTGACCACTCAGTGCGAAAAACTTAACTCCACGCTGAGTTGATTCACGCATGATTTCTGAACTCTCTTTTGAGGGCTTAGGAGATAAATCCTAGTAGAGGAGAAAAGATAAATCATAGAGGTCGCTGATTGATAAAGATATGGCATTCCATTATGAGATCGCATCTTCTCCTACGATACTACAGCATTAATAAATTTAGCGGGTCTAATCATTCCTTATAATGTGGCGACCAGCTGTTGGTAAGTTTTCTTATAGTCTGTGGCTACGTGGTTGCGCGAAGAGGGCTTGCGGAAGAGCTCGTATAAGTTTGACGGTGGCAGTCCACTCAGCTAGCAGTAGGTTGTGAAGGGATAATAATAAGAAAACGAGGACCGGCGACTCAGCAAGCACAAAATAGTACCTATATTTAATGGTAGAAACAATCGACAAACGGTAATAACTCACAATGAGATCAGGCAATCCGTAAATTGACATTTGGAAGTGACCTGAGTTTTCATTTCGTTTAAATAGGGCGTACTGTGAAGTCCAGCCATCAGTTAACTACCCACCCTTGAAACATGCCTAAACACGGGTTTGCTGCCTGAATACAATAATTTAAGTGAATAGCGTATCCTGAGCTTAAAGCTCTGCCTGTAGATCACAGCATAGAAACATTTAGCTGCAGCTATATTGCAGTGCGCAGATGTTTTCTGACTAGGGCTTATGATAATCCTTAAGTCTTTTAGTCCTTAAACCGTAAGTAGTGTACCGAAAACGTAATTCTATAAACAACTACTATGACCAATCTGCGTTACCATTGGCGTGGGATTTTGTAGATACCTCCTAGTTACCTTTCCGATTGGCTTGGGTGGTCATCAGGAACGATGACAAACTAACCATACCTTATTTCATATACCGTTCCGTGTTTTTTCGTTTTATCAAATATAGCCATTACTTACATTCGATGGATGAAACTAAAGATAATATTGATAGGTATCATCGGACTAAAGATTCATAGCTGATCAAAGGTAAAGTGAAGGTCTCAAGACAGCCAGTGACTTCTTACTAATGTAAACAAGTCTATCTTTCTGTGTCCTATAACATTTCCTACCTGCTGTAGCGTTTGGGCACCAAAAAGCGTCTCATTCAGAACAATATAAAAGCACTAGTGGTGATATATATATATATATATATATATATATATATATATATATATATATATATATATATATATACCCGTCTTGCTGTTCACATGCCAGTTTTTCAGGAATTATGCATATGTGAAGTGTAACGTTAATCATAATTTCTGAAGGTTAATGCGAAACCTATATATGGATGAATTCCATTTGTATCCTGTGAGTTTTAAAGGTGAAAACTAGAGTTGCCTTATTCTTGGTAGATGTGAAGTTCTTAACTTTTTAACAGTCACATCACCTACGAAAGTATCCTTGCGTGTTATATTCTGGCGTGAAATTTCTCTCTAAATCTCTGCTTCCTCAAGGTAGTTGGTGTTATCGTTAAATTTCTGTTAATAACTAATACATCAGGAACTGGTGTCTGGATTGGGTTCGGTAGTTTGTTTCTGTTTGAACTGATTGCGATCTTTCTGTATTCTAAATGCAGTATAACTGGACCTCCTGATGATCCAGGAATCATCCCAAGAATCGCTGAAGGTTTATTCGAAGAAATTGAGAAGAGAACGGTAGTTACAAGAGTTTTGTAACCTGATGTTCATTTAGTCTTCCAGCAACAATTTCTGTGTAAAAATGAGTTACTATGAAATATACAACGAACGGATACGTGATCTGCTTTGTTCAAATCCTACCGGAAATGGGGTAAGAATAATATATAATGAAATATTGTTGTAAATTTCTTATTCTACATAGTAGGGTATTACAGACAGTGATTAGTTACTAGTTTGTGGATAAGAACAAAATAATTTGTCCACTAAAATGGTTAAAAAGCCAGTCGAACCTTTTTATGTTTAGGATAAAAACAGTCACCTATTAGTCAAGTAATTTGAGTTCGCAAGTTCCAGGTAACTAGTTTTTAGAAGTTTCACACAAAATTGTGTTCTAACGCTACAGTATTACCTTCAGATTTGAACCGAATAATGACTGTTTTAAGAATGGATATTGATATTCTGCTATTTACTCACTATCTGGGTTTTTCATTGAGTGCACTTTTACTTCCTCACTGAGGAGTTATTATTCATTTGAATTGTTTAAATTTCAGCTTGTCATCCGAGAACATCCAGTAACTGGCCCTTACATTGATGGGTTGTTATCTGAAAATGTTTATTCCGCGTTAGACATTTCTAAATGGCTTGGTTTTGGAAATCGTTTACGCACTGTAGCTGCCACTCCCTTAAATGATAACAGCAGTCGATCACATACTGTACTTACTTTATCGCTGACTAAGCGTTCCACTGTAAGTTTCATAAATGTTTTGAAATATATAACAGGTGTAGCGAAATCCATCAGTTGCTTTTTGGAGCATGAAATCAAAATGTACATTCATTTACATATACTATCAAGAATCCTTTCTGTCACCTTTTAAGGCCATATAAATTAAAATTTAATAAAAAAAATATCGTCATTATCTAACCGTGATTAGTAGTTGCAAATGGAGATAGAATGTAGACATTAATAAAGTTATAGGTTTATGCTGTTTTGTTCCTCATGGCAAAATTTCCCTCTCCTTAGTAGACTTAGAGTACACAGATGACGTATTACCATCGGGTGGAGATACTAACCAGATGCATAGTCTTCTGAACACCTTGAGCGGTAATCGGAGAATGTTTGGAATGTATTTCTCGTCATCCAAGTACCGATAGCTGCTCCAGGGCTGTTGTGCGTTGGTGCCACGTCTAACAAATAGGGAGTGAAGTGACAGAGCGTGCTGACCACTTTACTTGGGAAGTCTGACCACCCTGGCGGGTCAGTGACCAAAGGGATTTTTGCATTCATACAAAAGACTAACTTAGCTTTTGCCAACTTACATTATTTATGGCTGCGGTGGGATATCCGACTGCTTGTTGAAGGCTCCACTTTGCTCCGTTCTAGAATGCGACTGCGAAACATGGTCATTGAAGGTGAAGGAAATGAAAGAGCTTCAAGTGTTGGTGTATGCTTTTTGTTATCGTGCCATTATATCAGTAATGTGAAAACCAAGGGTTGAGTTTTAGGCGGAAGGAATAAGAAAGCTTTCAGCAACCCAGACAACTGGGACATATGTTACGTACGCCTAGTCAGCGTTTGTCCCACTGCGCAGTGTTATCTGAAGTAGGTTCAGGTTGGGAAAAATTAAGAGGTGGTCAGACTAAAACAGCATCATTCCATGAAATCTCTGACTTTCGATCTAAACTGTATCAGCAAGTGTAGACTTCTTGGTTGTGGTCCACGTGACAACCAAAATCACCTTTTTAGACTCTCAGCGTGCTCTACTGTACTGATGTAATTTGTGACATTTTACGCCGTTAAGCAGTAATGCCAGGTATCATGTTGGCATTGACTGCGAAAGGTTAAGCGCTTAAGAGGTATAACTTATGACCACTCACTACTTGGTTTGTGCAATCAAACAATATCATAGGTTTCTACACATTTGATTTGGCTCAGTCGCTTACGAAGAGCTAAGAACAATTGATACTAGATGTTAATTGAGTTCACAGTTACATAATCTTTCGACGATTCTTCAACTCCTACGGCATGACAAAATATCTTCGGGACGTTGCATCTGAATGTCATTATTATCATTCATGTACCTTAGTAATAGATATAAATGCTGCTAACAAGCAGGTTCTTTGAGTGAGGTGGCTTTACAGACAGACTTTATTACTAATGATAGACAATCTAACCCACCCTACACTTTATTGTCAGGATGAGCAGGGTGAGTGATTATCTTTCTCTCTAAACCAAAATGTTTTGATATATATAGCGGAAGTATAACAAAATGTGTATAAATAACACATTAAAGATGTTTTCAATCTTCTGAGCATTTTTGTTGAGTACATAAACTTGTGAACCACATCTCATTACTTTTCTAGTAATTCGTCGTAGATATCTGCACTGTTATAATTTATCCATATAGGATTCTCTAACCAGTGGTTGGAGACTAGGTGATATGGCTTATAACCGATGTCACTGGCGCAGATGTATACACACATTATCCTCATCTTAACGACGCTATACTGAATCTCACCACTTTCTCATTCTTCCTTTCTCTCTTTTCATACTTTATATTTCTTTTGACAGAGTTTTCTTTTCTTCATCTTGGACTTCACTGCCTTTTTACTTAATGTACTGATATGAGGTGTGGCAACTCGGACCGTTACGCAGTAATGTCTAGTCCTATGTTGATATTAATGATGATGGATTCTCTACGAAGTTATTCCCATTTGAAAGAGTAAGGATATCTATCATTAGTCTAGTTAACTCATGGAACTGTCATATCATACGTTTAAGATGAATCAATTCCACCTTATTCCTGTGTCTTTCATATGTCATTGACTTAAAATGGCATGAAAGGTATATCTTCGTACTTATTTCATTAAATAGCACCTGATAACTCTTATCTTGATATGGTCAGGCTCACATATGACAATGACCCAGCGAGCTCTGCTGGTGGAACGCTTTTCCCCTAGAGTTTCCTACCATACCAGAAAGGTTTGTTGAATAGTGGTAGAACGAAAAGTAGTTACCGTCGTAGTGTAAATTAATGCACTATGATGGGGTCTAATGGCGAAGTCGTATTGGTTCTAGCTAGATAAAGTGTGACAGCAGTAGGGTGTTTCCTTTGGATGACTAACAGTACCATGCTGATGCTGCCTTCCCAATGGGAAGGGAAGGGGTTAGAAAAGGTTGGCCCTAAAAACAGCACACTTCTTGCCCTACGGTCTTCCGGTGCCGACAGTATGGATTTAATCTATCTGGCGTTCGAATAGTTAAACCTCAAAACAACATTCCACAAAAAACCGTGTGTGACAGACCTCAAGCAGACATCTCATGGGCTTTTCGGTTATATGAATATTTTTCTCTTCCAAGTACCTTAAGAAGAAATAACCTTCGACGGTGTGGGCAGCCGGGAATTGTAAACTGCCCACACGCTTCCAGTAGTACACAAGACTCAATCAAACATAAACTATCCTCCTCAACTTCGTGTCCTCCTTTTCCTTCTCTTGATACTAATATTAAACCTCTCACACCTTCCCCAACCTCTTACTCTAAGACCTTCGATAACGGTCAGAACCATCGGAACCTCATCCCTAGTCTCCTAAGACCCCAACCCGTCCCAAATCGGACAGCAAGCATCACTTGCCAAAACTCGGAAATCTATAGCCATGGATGTATGCCGTCTCTGAGATACGTGTACGGGACTTGATTGTGGTTATAAGATTGACCTCACCTGGTCATATTTGTGAGTCTTCAAAATTCGCCCTACGAGTATCCAGAGTTCCAACGGCTAGCTCTCGTAGACTCACTGGTGTAGGGATGGTACTGAGCTGTAGAATCGGAAGTGCGCTTCTTGACTGGATACCAGTCAACAGTTGTCTTTGTGCTGTTCGGCTGAATGGATCTGCAAGGAGTAGGAAAGATGGTGAAATTGGGCGATTAGATATTAGTTTTGCTTATTTGATTTGTAAAATACTGTGATACAGTATTATTTACTTGATGATGCTTAGAGCATAAATTATTGCTCATAATCATATCAATATGACCACACCAGTTTCAAAAATCGATTTTCCTAGTTCTGTCACCACATGTTCTTTTTTTATTGGTAGCAAAATTTTCCGTATCTCGTATAGGTGTTGAGTCATTCCGACTACATGTGTTGGATATTGATTCCATGAACAAAGATTCGGTAATCGATCTCTCTTACCTAATTATATTTGACTTAAGTACAGCTTTTTTCCCCACTCTATTGTGTGGTTGTGTGTTATTGCTTGCACTTCTATAGCGCAGTCTTTTCTAGATTATTGATCTTAGGTCTATCATCCTGTATTTGGCTAAGTTCCTATGTTCCCGTAATCTAACTGACCACGACCGGCTAGTTTGACCTATGAACTTGACTTGGGAGTCATTGTATGAGATTTGATAGATTAGATTATTTTGCTTAATTGGTGACAAAGCTTATCTTTGAACGAGTTTGTAGGTTTATTTCCCACCCTAATTCCAGCCTTCGTGAAAAACCTACGCAAGGTTTCTAATGTGGAATATGGAATAAAACTTGGGCAATGTGGTCGATTGTAATTCCATTTTAGTCTATTTATTAAGAGTGTCACAATAAAATAGTATCATTTACTGAATAACGTTTCGGACATAATTTATTGTCCATATTCATATCATAGATAGACATGGTATGCAAGTGAACAATAAATTATGTTTGAAACGTTATCCAGTAAATGATGCTGTGTCACTCACTGTATGACATTTCTAAGAAACAAACTAAAATGAAATCTAAAATTGAATTGCATTTTACCGCAGTTCCCAGGTTATACACTTATAGTAAAGTAATTAGGCGATGCATACTCGTAATTTCTATGTACCCATTGACTGTAGTTCAGGTGATGTAAAGGATGAATTCTATGAGAGGCTGTCAACTTTGTTACAGAAAGCAAAACGTTCAGATGCAGTCATAACATCAGGTGACTTTAACGCTGAAGTAGGGCAGCTGAACCAGTCGGAAAGGCGACCAAGAGGTATCTACGGAATCCCCAAAGCTAACGAACCGACAACAGTAGTCATCTGTTGGAACTCTATCCTGACAATCACCTGTTTCTGGCCACCACTAACTTTAAGCATGAGGAGAGATAGTTTCACATTGCGTTCGCCAACCTAAAACCAACGATGGACATAGATGGAAAATATTGCTATAAACCACCATCGAAGAGGGTTGGTAAAAGATTGCCACTCTTTCTGGAGTGCTTTTCTAGTCCCCGATCATGCGTTAGCACGGGCTGGTGTGTCCGGACTTTACTGGTCGCATGAATCAGGTGATTGTAAAACCTGTCTATAGTCGATTTGAAGATGAAAACGTCAAGCACACATTAAGGGAAGAGATAGCTAAGCATTTGTCTAAACATGACAGCAATGCTCATTCTGAGGAAAACTGGCGTGATATTAAGTCTACTGTAGAAACAGTGGTAAAGAGGGTTGGAAAACTACATCAGAAGGTTAGCAAAGGTCATTAGCTTTCCGCAATGTCAACCGAACTGATTGATGCAAGAAGACCAAGTCCAACTGGCTGTGACTACGAGCGTAAGCAACTCAAACAAATTGACGAGGAGTCTTCGTATCAATCGTGAGCAGTGGTGAGCGGCGAGAGCAAGAGAAATGGAGAAGGCATCAGCTTTAGATAGCACCCGCCAATTATTCAGGTCTATTAAGGACACCGGCCAGAAGAAGATGGTGGTTGGTGAAACCATAAAAAAAGATGGGACGTTGATAACCACTTAGAACAGGCAGCCAGAACGTTTGGCAAAGCACTTCGAAGCACAGTTGATCTGATCCCTCAGAAACACCTAACATCGAGCCTGAACCTAAATGGGATGCAGATGTTAGTCCTCCAACTCTCCTTGAAGTTGAGAAAGCTGTATCAAACCTTAAACGATGCAAAACAGAAGAAGCTGACAGTTTGCCACCTGAAGTTTTCATGAATGGAGGCAAGAAATTACTAATTAAGGTGACGGAGGTACTAGGTGGTGTATGGGGATCAGAGGTGGTGTGGTCAGCTTGGTGTAATTCCTTGGTCATCCCAGTGTATAAGAAAAGTGAGAATTTATGTGACAGCTATAGGGGAATTAGTTTGACTAATATTGTGTCCGTGATCCTAGGTCCCATAGTTATGCAACGCCTAACTGGAGCTCGAGAAAGGCAAAGTTATGGAAACCAGGCTGGTTTCCGACCTGGTCGAGGGTGCATCCACTATGTCCATCCACTCGTCCAAATCAACATGGGATCAGGCATTACAGCGTGACGGCCCGAGTTGCCACAGCTCATATCAGTACATCGACAATGTCTTCACCCTCTGACAGGTTGTGGAACACAAGATATTTTACCGATGGCCGATACATGTCATATTTGTTGACCCGAAGATGGCATTTGACTCAGTCAACCGTGAGGTATTGTAGCAGTATCTGACTATGAAAGGAGTACCGAGAAAATATATAACGCCAATCAAAGCCCTTCATTCGAACTCACGCAGCTGTATGGTGGTTTGTAGAGTTTTCATCTGAATTGACTACAACTAGTGGTGTCCACCAGGAGTGCTCACTATCGTCGTTCCTATTTAACTTCGTCATCGACCTACTAATGGACATAACCTAAGGTACGTCTTACTTCACAGGAATTAATCTTCCCATTGGAGGCTATCTGACTGACTTGGAGTATGCAGATGATATTGTCCTGTTGGGTGAAGACGCTGACGAAACGCAGGTCTCCTGACGACTGAGAAATCTGAGTATGTTTGGCATGCGTTTTGCACCTGTCAAATGTAAATTGATGGTCCATAGCTGGTCTGCAACTACTCCCAGTTTAATGATAGGGAGTGAAGTTGGGGAATGCATCGATCATCTCTCTCCCCTGAGGAGTTGCATCAGCATGAACGGGTGTGTTTCTGAAAAAATCTTAGCTGAGATGCAGAAGGCTGGTTTGGAGTTTGACAACGTGCGTCATCTCTGGCACCGGCCTTTTGAAGTATGAAGATGCTGCTCTGCAGTACGTTCTGTCCTGTTATTCGGCTATAAAATATGGCCGTTAAAAGTAGGTGTGAAGTGGTTACAAGTTTTTGAACATAGGTGTCTTCGTAGCATTGTTCGGGTTTGGTGAAATCACAGTATGAACAATGCTGAGGTCAGGCGAAGGACACGAGACAACAAAGGCAAGTTAGTTGATGAGGTTGTAAACCTCTAGTAACTGAGGTGACTTGGAGGTGTGTATTGGATGCCTAGCCACTGCCTCTCTCAATATATGATGCTAGCAGAAGTTTGAATAAGGCTCAGGATGGCCATACTAAAACGTGGGATCAGTCCATGAAGTCTCTGACTGTTGGTCTGAGTCATGTGGGGAGGTATAGACTATCTGGCTGGGGTCCAGGAAACCAAAAGAATCAGCAGTTGAGGCCTCTTGGTGGCTGAAAATCGGTCACAATGTGGCAGATGTATTAACTCTTTGATATCTTCTGAAACTTCAATATTCACAGTAAACTTTATCTTCAAATTCTTTATTCTCTCACATAACTATTTTCACTTCGATATCACTGATTCTATTTACCTTTCTTTATGTAATTCTGTGAAGTATGACATTGAACGAATCCACTTGTGTGTGGGGTTCTACGTCGATCCTGTCTCTCTGTCATTAGAATTATGAACTTTTTTTACCCTGAAAGTGTAACAATGCTGTATATGATTGTTTTCTTATATATTTGATTCCAACTTCTACAGATGAAATATTCATTGGGAGATGTTGACAATGTATATAATAGTCAAATTACCATTGTTGATCTCGCTGGCAGTGAACGTCAGACATCTACATCCACACTTGGTGGGCGATTTATTGTGAGTTCCGTTAACATTTATATGATGTTTTAATAGCTTGGTTAACATAATTTTTTTTCAGTAATAATAATAGTAAACTTATTCTGATAGATATTTCGGGAATACTGTACAAAATTTTCAACATATACTGATATCGTCATGTATATATGCTCGCATTGACAATTAGGCTCGGAATGCATAGTCTTTAATTATCTGGTTTAAAAAATTGATTAATGAGTTCGTTTCTAACACTTTCTTCCTCGCACAGGATACCAACTAGACGAGGTATGTTAGGTTTTATATTTAGTTGTACGTTCATATTCTTATGTAATTGTGTCTGGTCTTGCCTAAGGACTGATACGTAGAGAGCTTTGAGTGAAGGAGATGCTGGTCGTCTGATAAAATAACTCTTTTCAGCTGTTTACATGAGATAATTTTTTTTCACTCAAAACAGTGTCAGTTTGAAGGGCTAGAGGTACACCACTAGTTCTGCAAACAGTCTTCAAAGTCCTACGCAATACAGCGTAGTCTTTTTTCAACAACCCAGGAAAGAATAAAGGGGAATAGTAGGGGAGAATAGGTAAAATTCAAGAGTTTACAAAACGCAAAAAAGAGGCTGAGTTAAATCAGATACTTTCAGCTTCCTAATATGGTTAGTTAGGCAGTAGATTATTTTAGGCATTTTAGTGAACAACTTGGGTTGTTTGATCCTGATTATGTGTTCGAAAGAGGGAAATGTTGCTGCTACAACTACCGTAGCCCTATTCGGGACGCACAAATTCACTAGCATCCTATCCCAGATGATCTAATTCCATATTGTAGATACCCCAATAATCTGAAATAATTTGATTACATTCTGTTAATCTATTTTGTTCCTCAGTATGAGTAACATTCTCTCAAGCTATTATTCCTCAAATTATCCCTCTTAGTTAATTTCATCCAGCACTCATAAATACCTTCCTGTTGTTTTACTAAACTATCACCTTATAGGATTACCTACACCGTGTAATCGTTTAGATAATCAATTATTTTGAGTCAAGTTGCCGCAATGATTGATTCTATCATTAACTTTTACACAGGACTTTTCCAAAATGACTTTCTCAACTGTATATTATTGACAGGCTGATAAGCGATATCTCGATATTGTTGATGTATAATTCTTCAATATATACATAACTGTAGGACCTGAAGAAGTTATGGAAAAGAATATTCTTTGTTCACTCAAATGGCTTTGGGAAATTATTAAGACTATGGTAGGGCCGGGAAAGATTCGAAATAAAACACACGTACACACACACCAAGATAAATCACGCTCGTAGCATTCTCCAGTACAACCGCCAATGTCTCTAGAATCATGAAACCTAAGCAGTTTGTACAGCTTATTTTTATTTCTGAAACTAAGTGATATTTTGACATGTTGAAGAACCAAGTACAAGGCCATTCATGGAGAAACATCGTTCAATAATCGATAAGAAATCATCTAGTCAAGAACAATCCAATGAAGAGGTGAGGGGTATAGGAGTTGTCAGGTCATCAGCACAGTCTGAAAAATTGATACCGGTTGAAGGTGACAAGTCATATAGAAGGAAATGTGAAAAGAACGGTGCCTTGGGAACACCAGCCTCAGTAAGTTATGAGGCGGAGCGCTTCCCTCTGTGGACAGTATATCACTTCCTTTCAGAGAAATAGGAATGGAGTCACTTAATAATCCAGGACTCACTATGTGGCCCCGACTAGCTTGTTTAACAGGAGAGGCTTTGAGACGGAACCAAGTACTGAAGTATAATCTGAAAAGGCTCACCTGACATTTGGCATTTCTATCAAGATACTGTGAGAAAAAAATGGTGGTATCCTCTATATTTCTTTGCAGAGTTGCATTGTTCCTAGCTGAATATTTTAAAACCAGTCAGAGAAACCAAATTATCATCACATGTATCTTAAAACCGAGTTTCTTGTAACCTTACTACTCCAGCCTTATGATAAACTTTGGAGGACAAGTAATTGTGATTAGTCCCCTTCCCCCTTTGAGAGACCTGCAGTTTGAACTTAGAATTTTATACAAAGTCATTTGAGATAAAATTATTCACTTCGTAGCACATTGTCATCCAACGTGATGTTTATTTTTCGACTTATTTGATAAAAACCTCGTGATAAGTTGTAAATGTTTTTAATGAATGTATAATGCGAATAGAGCACATAATAGAGTGATTAAAACAAACGAGTGTGAAACTTTTGAATGAAGTATATGATGTGAAAAATTCAGGTAAGTTTTCATCATTTTTTGTCGTTGTTGTTTTTAAAGGTTTCTCTAGATAATTTTTTGAAAACCCATGCTATAGTCAGGAGTTGATGAAAGTAGCTTTCAGTTCTCTTTATTTTTCCTTAAAAATATACTAGTGACTTATCATACATACCACACCAAAATAAATAAATAAACCCCAAAATTCAATAATTCTAGTGCTTATTGGTGACTCGCTTCGAGAGGTGTTCTAATGAAAAGTCGACCATTCGAGTCGAGCGTAAGAATACTTACTCAACGACGGCATTAAATGGAGGTCGCAGTATATCGTGAACTGACAAAAGTAGGAAATATGGACCACTTAATTCCGACTCAATGGCTCTATGGAAACGTGGTGGCCGTGGAACCCTAAGGTCCTGGGTTCGATCTCTGGTGAGGTCTTGGGTAAGCACTATTGAGAAGTACTATACTGGGACGAACCAGCTGTCCAGTGCTCCCACCTTTCCAATGGTCCTCTAACTGATGTTAATTCATGATGAATACCAACCTGAAAACGTAAAATAAATATTTGCCATTGTCCGATTTTTTAAGTCAACATTTCGAGTTATGGTGGTTTGTATTCCTTTTTAAGGTATTATTTATCACGAACTAATATTAGTTTGAGCACCATTCAGTCGTTTCGTATGGGGAACTTCAGCAGTGCGCACCCAGGACCCGGCCATTCCGCTCTCTTCTCTGCAGTCTTTTGAACCTGGCACCACGACTCCCCACAAGCTTGCATTTCTTCCTCACATGATCTCCTCCATGTCACCCTCGCCTCGGACGCCCAAATCGTCGTTTCCCATTTGGATTCCACTCGATGGCCTGGCCTGATGCGTGATGTCCCCAATCGGCCTTCTCAGTGTTTGTCCGATCCATCTCCACTTTCTTCTCTATATTTGTTGGGTGATAGGTTCTTGCTTGGTTCGTTGCCAGAAGTGTACGGAATGTGTGTGCTGTATTGATGTAGTAATTTATTAGTAATAGTTTTATTCGCTATGCTTGGATAATGACGAGTATATAAAGTTCAAAAGAGTAGAATTTTGACCACTAAGTCTTTACGCGTCAAAATCCCAGCTCCTTCTTCCAGAGACTGAAACGTTCTGTGATTGTCAAACTACCGGACAAGGCAAAATACACTGTCACTCAAGTGTGTATGTAAACTTTCGTATATGTACATCTTACTGCTTGTATCATTTATTCATTGCTATAAAATCAGCCATGATTGAAAGCTGTTTCTATTGGTTTCCCTTTCATAACTTTAAGAAATCCTGTCATTGGTAAAGACTATTGAATACAGATCATTCCTTATTTCTGGTGTGCTTTAAACGTATAGATTTCATAATATTCTTATCATCTAGACTTTCGGAACACAGGGTTGCTCATATATACAAGATTCTACATTGTTGTGTCTGTCTGCTTGTCGTGTATTTCTATTTGCTTCTACTTATTGATGACAGTATTTAGATCTGAGTAGTCACGGTATTTTATTATTGTAATTGATTTTAACTCTGCTGTAATGAATTGAGTATCTTATTCTAAATATTATGCAGTTTTATCCATTGTACTGAAAAGCAGTATGATAGTCTCTGTATTTAATCTGGTTGATAATTTTGTGTACTATTCTCTAGTTATCCATAATAACTAGGACTTCCTCATTTTAATTTCCTCAGTTCTTTTGTGCTTTGGTATTTTGTGATATAAGTCTTTAAACGTATACAACTGAGGGATTGTGCGTGATAGCGAATAATCATATTTACTGTTACTAGTTTTTTGAAGGTAGTTGCTGATTATTTCTGAAGGTCTACTGTTTTATAAATTACGGATTTTAGGAAAGTTGTCAAATCAACAAGTCGTTGTTCACTCTTGGGAAGGTAATCACTCAACTTTCTCAGAATGCTACCAACAAGAAAAAGCCATTTCTATCTTCGGAGCCACGATTGGGTTCTCGGGATATTCATCCAGTTGGTTCGGTCACTCCATGCCGGTTCATCAACAAACGACGAAATTTCGTCTCATATCGGGATTCTTTACTAACTTGGTCTGTTGAATAATTAAATTTAACTTATATCACAGATTTGTAAGAATTTCTACTAACCTTTAATTGTGACAAAATGCTATGATACAGGTTTGTACACTTTTCAACGAACCACTCATTGTTTGAGTAATTGTGTACCTTGTATCTCGAGGCTCAAAAGGTAAGGTAATGCTTAGACTCCCAACTCCATGGATAGAGAGTGAAATATCCAATGTAATGAATTACAGTTCCATTTAAAAATTTAAGTCTAAGAAGTAAATGAATCGGCCTGATTAATGAAAAACTACAGAACTTGACTGCTGTTTGCTCCCTTTAAGCAGTGTCCTAGAGGTCGTGTATGTTTTTAAAAGAGATTAAGGGTTTGTATAGAAACGTAGTCAAGAAATAAAGCTAGTGGAAGCGATTCCATAGCGGAAAATGGCGGATCTGATGGAAACGAACTACTAAAAATCAGTATTTAATTACTACTTTGTACTTATCAATACTTTCTTCGCATATTTTCAGCTCATTCTATCGTTTTTTTCACTAGGTTACTAAAAGACAGTTTAGGTGGCAATGCGATTACAGTGATGCTAGTAACAATCAGTCCTTGCCCTACTCATTACGATGAGACTTTAAGCACTTTACGGTAAGATATTTTTCTGTTTTATAATTGAATTTCATGTTATGTTGCTACATATGTGTAATTTCTTAAATTTTAAGGCATTTCCTCTTAAGCTTACGGGTGCAGTGAAAATGTTTTCTGGTTATTATCAGGGATACGTTACTCAGTGCCTTTTGTTTTGTCTTCTCATGCCAACCTATCGCTGCAAACAGTTAGACTGCAGTTATAACTGACTGCTGAAGGTTGGTAACTTTGAACCAATGAGTCATGAGCTTGAAATAAGCTCTATCTACAAAGGTTTTGGCAAGCAGGTAGTATCACCACTCCCCACATAGTAGGTATGGTTCATTGCCTACTTTTGTATTTATCACAAAAACTGTATAACTGTAGTAATTAATTAGTAAGTGTGACTTATAATCTTTGGTTCAGTAACGTAATAGTAAAACAACAAAAACAGTATACAAAGCTGTGGATAGAAACTGTTGAACAAAGGAAATAGTCTCTGTTGCAAACAAATGAATTTGAATTCAAAATTTTCTTTCATAGATGATTCTATGCTTATCTCTAATTGTTTCTGACCATCAGTTTTTGTCAATAAATTTAATACGTGAAATTACGTAACGGATCTTAGAGTTCATGCTTGGCTCTGACTCAAAAGGAGCGCTTATTCAAGCTTTTGAGTAGCAAAATTTTTTTTTCTATTGTTTAGCTATGCCAAAAAAGCCTCATCTATCGTAAATTCAGCGGTGGTTAATGAAGATCCCAAAAGTCAATTAATTCATGGTAACTCATATGTTTATCTTTGCTTTTAATGATTATCTGTTGCCTTTTTTTTTATTTCTATCCATATTCTTTTTTGTACTAATCTGAATAGCTTTCGTTACTGATACTGTTAAGATTTGTACATTTCGACGAATGGTGACAGATAAGACAGGTATAAGCAAAAAAACGTTTTGAGCTTTAGTATCAGTGACTATCAAAATAATGGCAAGCCATGTTTATATATATTCAAACTTATGTGATGACGGTCAACCATGGGCTGTTTATGTAATTTGTAGGAAATTTCTGAATGATTTCGGCTTTGCTGAAGTTGACTTTATGAATTCATCTTTATAAGTTAGCAAAGATTACCAATGTATTGGAATCAGCCCACTTATTTTCCAGACTGCTTCAGTGTTCGTCAACTTTACAACAGATCTTTGATAACCTTATACACAACATTCTGCGATGGCATCTTCCACAATTGTGAAGCATTTGTGCATAAATAAGTCCTCCCATTACCATTCTTGAGTCTTAGTTTCTTGATGTATAGTTATTCAGAAAAGTTGATGAATTTCGTCACAAAAGTACCAGTATACTATTTTATTTGATTCACTAGTTAAGTATTTCGTATTTTCCTTTCAACTAACCATATCCAACCATACTTCCATTGGTTATTTGTTGGAAAGAACTAACGTATCGAAATGTAACAGTTCTTACCTCATTGGATCATATACATGGAAGTATATTTACCGAAAACAGGCCCTATATATTGTTCTACAAGTTAACGGATTTGTTCTTTTAAGTATCAGTTCAGCAGAAGTAGTGGTTAACACCAAATCATGTGCGGACCAAATTGCAACGCTACGCATCATCATAGAACAGAGCATAGAATGGCAGTCAACTCTCTACCTCAACTCAACTTCATCGACTTTGAAAAGGCCTTTGACAGCGTCGACCGACAAGTAATTTGGCAGTTGCTTCAACAACACAGTTTTAGTACCACAAACCTTTATCAACCTCATTCAACAACTATATGAAGACGCCACATGCCAGCCAAGTAATTCACAATGGGAAGCTCAGTGATGCGTTTAAATTGAAGACAGGAGAAAGACAATGTGGCTGTTTACCATCACCGATGATCTTCCTGATTGTGGTGGACTGGACTGGATCATGCAGCAAACAATGAGGAGCGAGAAGAGGGGGATACTCTGGACCTGGGAAAAGAGCCTAGAAGATCTGGATTTCACCGTCGATGATGACTTATATCTACTGTCTTGTTGCACAAACTTGAAGATCTATAGGCAAAAACTAACAAGTTAACGGAAAAGGCAGGACAGCGAGGACGGGACTTCAAGTGAACATAGAGAAGATAGAGGTGATGATGATACCCAACCAACGCCACCACCAACTACAACAAGGTCCAATCACCATCAATAGGAGGAACGTAAAGGAAGTAGCCTCTTTCACCTACCTAGGCAGGCAGCATCGTTTCAACTACAGGTGGCGTGTTGGCGGCATAGACGAGGACATCAAAGCAGCCAGGATCGGAAAGACAGCAAGACAGGTGTTCATTAACCTGAAACCAGTGTGGAGATCTTCCGCACTCAGCACGAATATCGAGATCCGGATTTTCAACACTAATGCCAGTCAAGTCAGTGCTTCTATGTGATGGTTCAGAGACTTGGCGCGTTACGAAAGGGATTTCCAACAAACTGCAGACATCCATCAACAACTGCCTACGCTCGTTACTGAAGGTCAGATGGCCAGAATAATAAGAATAAGCAACAAGGAAATCGCTCTGGGAACGAACCAACCAAGAAGCTATCGCTGAACAAATATGCAAAAGAAGGTGGAGATGGATTGGGCATGCACTGAGAAGACCGATTGGGGACATTATGCGTCAGGCCAGGCCGTCGAGTGGAACCCAGATGGGAAACGGCGAGTTGGGCGTCCGAGGCGAGGTGAGGGTGACATAGAGGAGATGGTGTGAGGAAGAAATGAGAGCTTGTGGGCAGTTGTGAAGCCAGGTTGGAAAGGTTGCAGAGAAGAGAGTGGAATGGAGACGTGCTACTGAAGCCCTATGTTCCACTAGGAGCCCAAGGGACAAATAAATATAATAAATAGCGGCTAACGCTGTTTTGTGTGTTCTTAATTTTAATATTCAAAGTATCCTAGATTGATATTCATCATAGACTGATATCAGTTGAAGAACCACTGAGAACCTGGGGGCACTGAACAACTGTTTCATCCTAGTATGTGACTTTCTAACAGTGCGCACTCATGACTCCACCAGAAATCGAAACCAGGACCTTCGGGTTCCGCGGCCAGCGCGCTACCATTGAGCCACTGGGTCGGAATCGAGTGGTTCATATATCCTACTTACGTCAGCTCACGATATGGCACAACCTCCATCTACTGCCGTCGTTGACTCCACCGGTGACGCCTTCTGACTATAACTTTTTGAAATCATTTCTCGAAGCAAGCCACTAACTAACACTAGAGTAATCTATACAAAGCCAACATTTTTCATCTTACATAGAATTTTACGAGTTAGCACTAACTTTTAACCATTAATTCTCTGAAAGTCAATTAACCAGTTCTCACACATCTTGAGTATTTGCATATGGGTCATTGATTTGGGAGCAAGTGCTTGGTTCGAACGCTGTCCCACCTACTTCGGCCCCGGAAACTATGAAGTATCACAAGCCCTCACATAAGTGTGGCTCACTGCCTAGTGCATCAGGATATGTGTCGGGTTGAGTTACATAATTTTATTATTATCTTTATTTCTCGTAGAATTAATATCTGAAATACGTAATTTGCGGCAAAAGGCATCATCAATTTTATTTGAACCTGGTACATGTCAGGCATACGAGGTAGCTAAATTGCAAGAACTCATTTCAATCCGTGAACAAGATGTTCATCAGTTACGAAGGTGTGTTTTATTTGTCTTTTGAGAAGTCTTTTTTAAATTTGAATATCATATAGATAATTATTTTCTGTAGACCATTCCTTTATTTCGTTTTTGCTATTGATGAGCGATACAGAGGACTTCAATTCCTCCTTAATAATATAAATTTCTTCCTAAAAATTTATTATTGCGTGCCTTAATAATTATTGAATAGAAAACCGACTGTTGAACTAGTGATGAACTAGATCAAAGTAGTAATCCTTAGGGATTACGAAAGAAATGTAAACGTACTATTGATAATTTTCATACTCTATCGTTCAGTGCTTACCATAGAACTTAGTTAATCTTTCACTTAGACATTATATCCTGAATGTAATACTACTCAGCCTTTAAAGTTATCTGCTTACGTACTGAACAGTAACTCTTATACTTCATGAATTCACTAGGTGAGAGGATTGGTATGAAGTTCCTACTTGCGTCATAGTTCTTTTTATTATATGTATCATAGAGTGAAGCGGAATTATTTACTGGATGGTGTTTCAAGCATAATTTATTGCTCATAGTTGTATCAAAGTAATCAAATAACTTTCTGGTCTACCTTTTTAGTGCCATTGTTTTTCGTTCTCTGATTTAATTGATGGTAACACTTTCCACGTATCAGAAATTGGTTTTACTTCATCCCTATTATATACGTGCCAGGTGTTGATTTGATGAACAAAGCTTCAGTTATCATTCTCTTTGAACCTACCCAATTTATTTGTAAAATTATCATTCTATCCCAGTCTGTTACGTGATTGTGTATGACAGCATTCAAAGTTCTGGCTGCATTCTTTTCTAGATTTCTTATTTTGATTGAGTTTGTCAATATACACTTTGTTAGGTTTTACATGTTCTTCTAACCTAATCGACCCCAATCGGCTAGTTTAACCTACGAATTGTACCTGGTATTCACTGCATGGGATTTGGTAGGCCAAACTGTTTTGTTGACTAGGTTCGATAGGATCCTTTAACCAACAAGGTTTGTGTCTGAACGAGTTTATGGCTTTAAACACTACTCTTATTCTGGCTTTGTTGAGAATCGTATGTAAGGCCTCTGATGTCTGTTTATTATAATTAAACTATGGAGGTTTAAAATTCTTCCCTGTGATACTATTGTTACCATTGTGTCTATGATTAGTATGAGCCATATTCACTAATGTGTATTGGTGTAGAAGCGTGTTACTCCAAAGCAGACCGTGATATAATTATGAGAAATAAAGTAGGCCTAAGTCGTCATCTACTAAGGAATACTATTTTCCTGTGTGAGCCATTCAACTGTAGCTTCATAGAGTTTGCAATTCAACAATCGTAAACAGACAACAATACGAAATATTCCTTTGCAGTCATAGACACAAGACCCAATCATGCAAGTCGATACATGCCTGTAGACTGCATCCTGGACATTGGCCAACTTTAATTCTATATCGGCCTTGACAAAAAAAGAAAACAAAGACATTTTGGTTATCTGGTTCATTGGAGTAGTCACGCTTAATTGATGTCCCCCCTTTGTTGTATGATAGTATATGTACCAACGCACAATTATCAGATTTTTAGGCTTAGTTAATATTCATGTTGAAATCACCAATAGTTGCAATTTTAATCAAATCACTTGCTACTATTATCATAATAGTTGTCTTCTGACTGGATACCTTTCAAGTAATGAGATTTCGTTAAGGATTAGAATTTTTCACATGCCACCGTATTTTGTCTTATTGTAATCAATATTTCACATACACTGCAAAACAAATGTTTTCACCGAAACGTTCATGGAATGACAAATACAAACTGGTACCAACTTAAACTGTGGGCTATTGTTTACTTCTCATTGAACATAATGTGTTATCAAAAGATGGAACAAATTTGAGCAGTCCCACTCTTTACTTACTGGGGTGGCCTGTAGAAACTGAGTTATGATTTAGGTTTTTCTAGTTCTCAGTCATCTTTTGCTTTTCATTTGATTTGTATGTGATAAGCATATCTTTTATCTTGTACATAAATGACATTTTTATTCTAAGTTTTTTTGGAATTCAGATTGTTAATTATATCATTTCCTGTCGTTATGAAGGAGGCTAACTGATCATCGTTTTGAAGATGGAAACACATCTGATAGGATGATCCCACCTACACAATACAAATCAACGCAAACTTCTACAGAATTGTATCTTGATGATACGGATCCAGGATCTCAAATATCCCCAAGATCACTTTTTGATAACAACTGTGTGAATACTGTGTTAGTAAGATTATTAATGACCTATCATTTTTCTTGATTCCTGTTACGTATTTTATTGAACATGTTTTAATAGCATAACCTAGCTTCCAATTAGCAGACATTTGATGATATTTCTGGAGTTACAATTCCGCTTAAAATATTTCATTCGGGTGTATTCACTTTTATCTTGTTTTATTTCTGTATTGCTTGGACCATGTGTAGGATGTCATCAACGTAGATTCTTTGCAATTCCTGTTTGATGAGTGGTCTGTTTTTAATGATAGGTAGTCAAAGTATGATGAATACCAATTACATAAGATGGTTGCTGAAGGATTCTTTGAGTGGTATCGATCTAAGATTTGCCTATTTGACGTGTTTTTATACCATACTTAGAATTACGATTAACTCATATGTTGGAGAGTGTTAAAAAATATATTTCAACAGGTTATAAGTTATGCATAGGCACAAATAATAGTATGAACGACTTATCTACAGTATAAGCGTCGTTATTTCACTTAGACTCTTACCAATAACTGTCTAACTCATCAACTGTTTAAGTTGTTGAAGTGCTCCAAAGCGCAGAAAAAAAAGTCAAAACTAACAGACACCAAGTACAGCAAGAATAGAAGCATATTCGGCTTTCTGAGCAGCATAATAAGTAAACGCATATGCACAGCTGTCATCAGCTCTGTAATACATTACTTCCTATCACTGATTAATGCTTTCTCTGGTATCTTCTGTGTATCACACTGGTGATGAATGACTCCACGGATTGGTACCATTTCCTGATATGAAATACTTAGCGTTCTTAATATGGCTTAGTGATATATAGATGAAAGTCAGTTAGTTTCATCAGCAAAGTAATTCCATTTGAGTTGATTTATTAGATGCATCACACAGTGAAACTTTTTTTTTTACTGGATTACTTTTCGGACACAATTTTTTGTCCATAGTCATATCAAGATATAACTACACAACTTTAAGGCATGGTTTACATAGTTCTAATTCTCTCGCCTCCTCTGTGATATACGTAGTAGGATTCTCCGAACATACAGAACAGGTGCTGAATCATTCCTGTTCCATGCATTTGGTGTTAATTCGATAAACAAAGATTCAGTTACCAATCTCTCCCTCCACCTCGCTATGTTACTTTTAAAAACTGTCACTCTGTGGATGCAATTGTCAACAACCACACAACAGGATGGGACAGAGTGGTAGTTTTTAAAAGTAACATAGCGAGGTGGAGGGAGAGATTGGTAACTGAATCTTTGTTTATCGAATTAACACCAAATGCATGGAACAGGAATGGTTTAGCACCTGTTCTGTGTGTACGGAAAATCCTATTACGTATATCACAGAGGAGGCGAGAGAATTAGAACTATGTAAACCATGCCTTAAAGTTGTGTAGTTATATTTTGATATGACTATGTCCGAAAAGTAATGCAATAAATAAAACTGTTTTATTGTGTGATACACCTAATAAATCAACCGAAATCGTAGTAGCATTTTTTATAATCAAGTGACTACAGCTAGAGCATATATTGCAATGCAAACCCATACTTATATTCTTTGAGATGGTTGTTATGACCATTGCTCTTGCATTACTTTTCAAAAATATTTCCTTCTGTATATTATGAGTAACATGTAGCTGGTAAATATCACAATGTAAACAGACAAAACAAAGCGTGCTACACAACTTTCAAGAAGTACACTTTTTCATATTACACATTTTTTGGAGAAGACTGTGTAAGTAGCTTGTTATTCGTAAGTACAATCAAAACGATAAGGTTAAGGAAACAAAACAATTCATATCGCATTTAACTGTTTATATTAATTCACGTGTTTCTCAAAATAAAAACGTCGGGCGTACAGAAATACTTTCATCAGCTTGTTAAGTATTTAGGTAATTATTACAACTTAATATAATGATATAGTAACGTCTATAAAACTTTCGAACTTATCAGTAAATGAAAATTTCTGATTTCCAGAAAATTTCGTTTGTATAAACTGTATCTTTGTGTGCAGAACGAAGCAGTGGTCAATCTTGATTTTATTATAAGTATCTAGTTCATAGTTGTTATGATTGTCGTAGACTTCTATGGTAGCATGTTCTTCATATATTTTTCTACTGTCCCTCTCTTTTTTAACCGTATTGGACTATAACCCTTTGGTTGATGTTCGTGATATCGAAAGTACACCGCTACGCATTGGTGAAAACAAAAGGGCTTCATTAATACTGGTATACATCCCCATAACGTACCCAACTCATATGACGTTTCCACGTCTGTTGGTCATTCTCTACTGTGTAGTCCAACGACACACTGTCAGCTTGTTGAACAGATTGCTAGCTTAAAGTCTTCCTTACAATCCGTACAAGACGAACTGGTGAGTACTTTCTTGTTATTACGTTTTTTCCAACAGCTAAATGGTCGAAGGGACCTTACCTTAAGCAAGGCAAATTATTTGCGCTGTTATGTACCTGTAAAAACTTCCGATTTGGTTTAAATTATATCTATTAATAGCCCTGATATTTTACCTAGAGTTTAGGTTATCTGTAAAACTATTTGTCTAACGACTTTCCCCATCTAAAACAATGCAGAAGTGCGTCCCACCACTGTTATAAGCATGTAGCGTGAAAATATCTTAAATTCCTTTGTGTCAGCTAACTTCGCGCATCCTCTGAAGTTATTTACCACAATGCAAAATAATTAGTGCTGTTTCAGCTAAGAACTGATCGCACTTGCCCAAAGATTGGATTTTCAAGGTTCTAAATTGTTTCTGTGGTCACATTATGGATTATCAATACTTGTGATATTTGTCAGAAATTATTTGAAGCTGTTCGACTGCTACTCAAATAAAATTAAACTGGACTGTAATCATGTATCATTTACGCCCTAAGGTATCTTCCTTAAAAGCTACTAAATGCTCATCAATCTATCAAAACATATGGTCATTCCGTTTACAGACCGTTCGTTCTTAATTGTCGGTGTATTTCAATCAACAAGACCGCAAGTGATCTTGGTTCTTCAGGGAATTGTGACAATGAATGTAGCTGAATACCTATCTTCGAACCTCTTATTGATTTTTCTTTCAGCTGTATCCAACAGGAACGTTTTAAGCGAAGTATTGCACAGACTGTAACGAATGTAGTTAGTGCCTTAGGTTTAAAGCAGTGTAATTTCCAAGTTCTGTTCCTGCATTCACTTTGTTGGTGAGACCCATTTCGACAGCTCCATGGCTATTTTAGTAGTTGGTTCGTGTTTTCCCTTAAATTACAAATATGAACAGGTTGTATTTCACAGGATTAGTTATATCTTGATACTTATTGCATGTACTCCGGTTGATTTATCCCCTATCAAAACAGACCTATCACAGTTGGTTTTCGATTTTTGAAATATGTCTTTTTAAATCCTTTCAGGCGAGAGAATCGCTGTCAGCGAAATATAAAGTTGAGGTGAGTCATTAATTCTGTTAAGTATTTTTTATTTAGGATTATCAATTTGCAAATTGCATATTCCAATTTGACACTTCTTACAGTTGAATAGCTTTTTAATTGCCCAACTTTGTTGTCAACGTGGTTTCCGCTGGAAACCACCCAGCCAAGATCTCTGGCGCAAAGTGCCCTATGTATTCCATCATCATCACTATCAACACAGGACTAGAGATTACTGCGTAACGGTCCGAGTTGCCACACCTCATATCAGTACATCAAGTAAAAAGGCAGTGAAGTAGATGAAGATAGGAAAATTCAGTCAAAAGAAACAAGGTACGAAAAGAGGGAAAGGAAGAATGAGAAAATGGTGAGATTCGGTGTAGTGTAGTTAAGATTAGGATAATGTGTGTGGGGATACATATGCGCCACTGACATTGGTTCTGAGCCATATCACCTAGAATCCCCCACCACTTGTTCCTCTTGTTCTGCAGACCCCAACCGGCCAGTCTGCACCGCCTCACATGGCTCAAACCAACAACCAAAGACTTCATACATTAGTGCATGTTTTAGTCTGGCCGCCTCAGGCTTTTTCCAGCCTGGACCTACTTCGGCCAACATTGTGTGACGAGGCAATCGGTGACTAGGCATACGTAACACGTGTCGGAGTCAACCATCTCAGTCGATGAAGGTTCACAACCTCGCCAACTGATTTACCTCTTCTCCCTGAAACTCTACACCTGACTTGTGCGTTACTCACGTGGTGACACCACGGAATACGGCGGCCTATACTACGAAGGCAGTCCTGGTCAAACACCTGAAGCCTTCTCATGGATCCCAGTAACCACGTAATTTAAATGGAGAAACTCCACCTTTCATAAACCAGTATAGTGCCTCGTAATACGCACGATTTTGTTTCTTGTATTATAGTTCCCTTACGTTTACTTTGCCAGTGCTAATCCATCTCTTAATTCCTCCAAACACATATATAGGAACTTGATCAAAAGGTCATCATACTACAAAGAAAACTGCAAACTCAAACACGCCTACTCGACAATTTTAGACAGGTGAGTTGTTTCCATGTCTTGCAGAAATTTCAAAGCATTAGTAAACTGTAGTTTATTAGTGTCCAGAGAGAGATGTTCGAAGCTGTTTGCTGTATTCCACATTTTTTTGCGAAGTAGCAACGTCTTATTTCTTAATAACCAGTAATTCTTAAGATTGCATATTGATGTCTGATTCCGCTTGTATAAGTCAGTCAGTGAATTTCGTACTGAGAATAGTCAACTAAGGTGAATTACAGAGATGAGTGCTGCTGGATGTTTATTTAAGGATAATCTACCCAAACTCGTCACCAAGGCAAGAAGAGTTATAGTAATTTGTTTTAACTCCAGTGAATAAATTTTTCTTAAATATTTCACATATATTATTTGTTTATTGTAGGCTTTTGATAGATTGAATCGAAATTACCAATCGGTCTTGCAGTTATGTCCTCAACTACTAAAAAAGATTGCGTATGCGACCGCATCTGACCATGGGCTTAGCGACATAACCAATCAGCTGGTATGTATGAATTTCTAGTTCAATAAGCTGTACATTGTCATCTTCCCCATACACTATTCTACTAGATGTTTCATTTATTTTGTTAGAACGAGTGCATGAGAATGAAGTCGACTTGCTCGCCTACTGACGGACTATCAGCTAATCCCCAGAGACACACTGTATGTGTACATATATATGCTTTCTGTTTGTGTAACTTTGCTTTGAAATTAACTACGTCGAATATAAGATATATCACCTAGTAATACGTTATTAAAGTATGCTTACTCCATAAGCTTTTCCGCTGTGTTGTGACCATAATAGTTCTTAAATTCGAAAAGATTTCCTAGCTACCTGGTTTGATTGTTTGAACTACTAACTATAATAACAATTTATTCACATATTATGAATTTAACACGGTTTATAGGCATCATTTTATTGATGTTTGGATGAACATAAATACTGCATTATCTTATATAGTACATATCGCAAGTCAGCGAGGTTTAAAATATCATCAAAATTATCTGCAGGTTGTGAAAACGAACAGGAATATATCATATCTTGTTTAATGATTCAGATTACTGTCCTTGTTTTAAGATGCCATAGGAGTCGTGGAGTATTCGATAGTTGCGTTGCACAGCCAGTATAACTGGTCCATATGCGTAGCTTTTTATTTCATCAGATAACCGTCTTTCAAACCAATACTTACGGCTTTATTAACTGCAAAGAGCTCACTTTCCGATTTAGGGTATCAGTAAGTATCCGCATAGATTCATACATTTCCCGTTCTTTCAGTGTTACAGTTAACAGTGGTGCAGATTTATCCCACAAGGTGCGTGGATATAAAAATTGGAAGAGCTACTGTCCTATTGGTGATGGATGATACATAGACTCCCAGTATATTTAACCATGCACCACAACTGATTAGGTTACATGATACAAAGTACTACAAGAACAAGTGTACCATTATTGCAGATAAGCTGTCTTTAGTTTCTAAGTAAATCCATCCCTTTGGCTTGATCATTTGTTAATATTCTCTCTGCAAATATAACCGGTCAGACCATTCCAGGTGGTGCGGTGCAGCTAGAACTTCATTTTTCCAGATAAGTATACGACATGTGCCTAAGTAGGAGGTAAAAGGAACTGGCTGGTATCGAAGTTGCTACGGAATTCAGCGGTATAACTCTGCTACCCTGTTCTTTATACTTTCAGGTTCCTTCCTGTGTGTATGAAAACTCATGGCGGAATGAAAACGAATCAGAATCTTCTGCATAACCACATATGTTTCCTCATGACTTCGTAGCACGTCTACATTCAAATGACTTCTTGATTGGAATGCTCGCACTTACTTCGTTCTCCTGTATATTTCGCATTTTGTAACATACCAATAAAACATGTTGAAATCAAACGAATACCTTTCAGTGAGCGAGTTTTACTCAAACTATTTCTTACGAACTTGTCCTAACTTAAAAAGTCCGATCGATTAATGGAGGCAAAAAATTTCCAGCATGTAAGATACATTCCCTTAGTTTCTTATTTTTCAAAATCACGAAGACAACCGTATTATTGTGAACGTAAGAACCCGAAAAGATATATGTATATATATATATGTATTTAAACATGAAATCATATGAAAGGTTCAAAAGGATTGTACAATCTGGTTTGTTCAGCGGTGTCGAGGATCTGCAAAGAAAAAAGCGTGTTAGTTAGGTTCCGTTCATGTCAAAAACACTTTTAAAAAACCTTTGGGTGTGTAAATTCGTCCAAATTGTTCATCATAATTTTTTCAGGCTTATCTCTAGGGTGCCTTCCAGCATGTAAAAAGTGTACAATCATAATCATATGGTCACTCGTTATCCACTTTTTCGGCGCACCAGAACTCGACGAAACTCTAAAAAATGCTTAACTTGACGCTGATTGATTTCCGACTGTACCGCAATCAGAATGAACGCAGCGTCTTCAACAGGTCAATTGCTATAAAATCTAATTTGATTTTTGTCAGACTATATTCATCCTAAAAATTTCATGTCAAGAAGTACGTTTACACCTTCAGTGGTGAGCACCAAAAGTTTAGTGTTTAAAAAAATAGTTCTGGCAAAAAAACAGGATTGCATACTGATTTATTCATCACACTACTGAACGTTTAAGAGGCTTTTCCATGCGATGAAAATAACGTCCAGTGGGATGACAGGAAAAAGAACATAGATGATGATAAATTGCCTCTACGTGCCCATGCTCAAAGAACCGCAGGAAGAAAGAATAACTAGTATTGTTTAGTCTATTAAACCCAACACCCTTTAGTCTAAAAATGGTTTGGGCTCTTTAGAAAGGATATCTACGATAAAGCTTCGATAAAAGACAGTTCTCAAGAAAGGAGCTGCTTCAAATAATGTGGTGACACTATAAATATCAAAGCGTTGAATGTGAAACTAATACCAGGACGGTCAGAAAAATCGAAGCGGCCACTTTTGTCTTATTCAGCATGATGAGCAAGAGGGGTTGTAGCTTGATTGATGCTGACCGTGAGCTACGCCCTGAAGCGACTAAATGGTACGATCTCTAGAATCTCATCCAGGGAGTTGCGGTGCACCGGGAAACGCTCCATGTAACAATTTATTTCATATCATATCGTAAACTGACCGTCTCTGATAAACAGCGTTTGCCCTAAAAGTAGATCAGCTTAGAGGCCGCTTTAATCCTGCAGTTAACTTCTGGATTATTTCGCGTACCGGAAGACACTATTTATGAGTGACTGGTACTTCTGTGCATAGTCTCTTACTTTGAACTGATTGGCTGCTGCTGTCATTTAACCGGTTGGAGCTGTAAGTTGACATTCAAATAGATTAAATTGTCATTTTTACCCTTTGCAAACTGTAGCATGTACGTTTTCGCTGTTGTATAAACTCGAATATGAGTGTACAGATTCATGTTTATTACTAATTTACAACCACTAACAGCTATTACAAGAAAATCAGTCTTCAGACTTTGCACAACTCAAGTGAATCTTACCAAACTTGTGACAAAAAGTTTAACACAGTCCTTAATAGTCAGATTATATGGCAAAAATGGCAATGTGACAACACGATAAGTAATAATCTGGTCTATCGAATTGGAAAAGGATGAACATAGGGTTAGGTGAACCAGCTTTCTAAGATAACGGTCATCGAAAGATCCAGCTATATTACTGTCATTTTCTATGATGAAGGTGAAAAACTGAATGACTAATTTACAGAAAATACAATTTAACAAGTATCAACCGTAGGATAGCACTAGTCTGCATTTGATGAACTTGGATTTAAATGTAGATACGTTAGACAAAATGGCCAATCCAAGTAAAAATTTTAAACACGTTAACGAATTCGAGTGCTGATAAATCAATCACAAACCCCAGTAAAAAAGAGCGATTAACCTAAGATTGCTATTGATTAAAGTAGTTGTAAGGAAATATCTATTGATCTGGAACTAATCATTGCTCAAGGTAACTGGTGTGATGTTTTTACCATTCTGACCAACCGTTTATGCCAAATTTGCCACAGTAAACGTTTTTCACCAATGTGGGAACTTCGAGAAGAGAAACACGCAAACTTACGAAAATAAACAGGCAGAAGACGTTTTTTGTAGCAATAGCAGTCTCTGATGGGAGCATACGTCGTGAGAAAATCCCACAGTCAATGAACGCAACCCAATAAACAAGTGGAACTCTTTCCAATGAGACACCTATTGTATAAGGGTGGTGACACTTCTTCATTGCTCAGACTTCTGTAGGTGGTGGGATAGGAACTCTTTGTCCACCAGTCGAAAGTTCATGTACCTTAATTTTTGATAAAGAATTAGGGTGCTCAGTATATTTCCGGTTATTCTGCTGTCGCTAGGAAGAATCGTTATTCCTACCGGTGTAACTCATTCAATCAGAAAATACTGAACAGTAAAAGTAAGAAGGATATAAATGCTTGAATTAGCATCACTTAGAATTCCGAAATCACTTGATTCACAGGCTGTTAAGTTCACAGCTTGTTATGCATCTAAATAAATCATTCTTAATGCCCTGTTTTTATCTACTTCAGAAAGAGCAGACATATTGTGATAAAGTAGTTTGTTTCTATGGTGGGTCAACACAAACAAATTGAATCAATCAGAAATAAAACTATTATCTCGTAGTCCAATCTATCCTTGGCTGTATGGTGTAATACAAAATCTACGAAATATGTAACGGCATTTTTAAATAAACCACAAACAAATTCAGACCTCAACGTTATTTAAAGGTTTTTCTATTTGGGGATGTGACATCATCAAAGTTCATACCTAAAAAGGGAAGAAAGAAGTTTTTCAGAAGATAATAACCACTTGGCGACGCAATATCAATAAAGCCATGGGGTTTAACACCTAAATATGTTTGGTGGCAGTAAATCCGTTATACATACACCCCAAAATATAGTGCAGCTGAAAAGAAAAATCTTTACAGTCAAAAGTCATACATCATCTGTTAACAGATTAATAGGTTGGAAACTCCAAAACATTTAAATCATGAACATTCTAAAAACCTTTATATTTAACTCACCTTCATGGATAGCTTCGATGTGTCGCTTTAGACTTGATTTCTGAGAGAAGTTTCGCTGGCACACTTCACATCCAAATGGTTTGAGACCTTTGTAAAGAAAGATAATCGGATTCGGAAAAAGAACATTAGCTAACCTTTGTGAACAGCGTCAATGTGTTTATGGAGATCCGAGTTTCTGGTGAAACCTTTATAACAGTAGGTGCATTCGAAAGGCTTTACACCTGAAAATTGAAGATAAGCGTATGATCGAAAGTTGACGGAGAAACAATAGGTGAAGACAGAATTGGTTATCATGAAAAGAATACACTGATAACAATAAAATAAGCTTACCTTTATGTACTGCTTTGATATGTGTGTTCAAATTACAGTGTTTAGTAAACACCTTGTTGCAGAACGCGCAATTCAAGACTCGGAAATCTATCAACAACAGAATGACTTAAATATTAAAATTAAACAAAAACATTTAGAAAATGATTAAAGTCGGTCGCAGATTTATGTACTCTACTAATAAACGGTCTATGATAAGTAACGTATTTGAACTAATAAACTCAAACAAAACCATTACTATTTATTGATATACTTGTAATTCTCCGTTGTTTTACTGCATTGCACTGTTCGACATCTATTGACATATGGGCTCCTATGCGGATGCTTTGATACTGCCTGGATGTTAATTATGGTAATTTATTTAGTTGCGGCTAGCAGAGGAACCCAGGACGCACGTTTCATCCTATTTGGGATTCGTCAGCTGGATATACATGCACCCCAGTGAGTGACGTTGTTCCCACTGAGACTCGTACCCATCGCTTCAAACGCCAAGGTGTTATCCATTAGGCCACAGAGGCACGAAAGTCACCTCTTGTACAACGGCTGTTAGCTATTACTATTTAATGAAATAGCAAGTGACTTACCTTAATTAACATTCAGGTAATATCGAGGCATCCACATAGGAGCCCATATGCCAATAGATGTCGAACAATTCGATCTAGTAAAACAAGCGTATTAATAAATGGTAATAACTGACAGCCGCTGTACAAAAGGTGACTTTCGTGCCTCCGTGGCCTAGTGGATAACGCCTTGGCGTTTGAAGCGATAGGTACGAGGTTTGAGTCTCAATGGGAACAAAACCACTTATTGGGGTGCATGTGCATCCAGCTGACGAATCCCAAATAGGATGAAACGCGCGTTCTGGATTCCTGTACCAGCTACAACCAAGCAAATTACTAAAGACAAAACTACCTCAGCATGTTCAGGTTTGAGGCCATGAGCCACATCTATTGCATGAGTGTTTTAACACTAAATAAATCACGGTAAGTGAAGCGAAGTTGAAAACTGAGACTCATAGTGCAACTAGAAGTTATTTTTCATCAAATGCACCTGCAGAAAATATCCTGATAGGTTGATATGTGTATCTGAATATGACTTCGCGGTTTTGTGATTGCGACAAGGTTCCAATGAGTTCAACGAAAAAGGACTTCATTATCATGCATTCACTTATAAACAAGTCATCCAAGTGGTTATGACAGAATATGCTAACCATAATACATGACCTGATGTTCTTCAGAAACTTATTATTATATTATGTTATTATTTGTCCCTTGAGTTCCTAGTGGAACATAGGGCTTCAGTAGCACGTCTCCATTCCACTCTCTTCTCTGCAATCTTTCCAACCTGGCTTCACAACTGCCCACAAGCTCTCATTTCTTCCTCACACCATCTCCTCTATGTCACCCTCACCTCGCCTCGGACGCCCAACTCGCCGTTTCCCATCTGGGTTCCACTCGACGGCCTGGCCTGACGCATAATGTCCCCAATCGGTCTTCTCAGTGCATGCCCAATCCATCTCCACCTTCTTTTGCATATTTGTTCAGCGATAGCTTCTTGGTTGGTTCGTTCCCAGAGCGATTTCCTTGTTGCTTATTCTTATTATTCTGGCCATCTGACCTTCAGTAACGAGCGTAGGCAGTTGTTGATGGATGTCTGCAGTTTGTTGGAAATCCCTTTCGTAACGCGCCAAGTCTCTGAACCATCACATAGAAGCACTGACTTGACTGGCATTAGTGTTGAAAATCCGGATCTCGATATTCGTGCTGAGTGCGGAAGATCTCCACACTGGTTTCAGGTTAATGAACACCTGTCTTGCTGTCTTTCCGATCCTGGCTGCTTTGATGTCCTCGTCTATGCCGCCAACACGCCACCTGTAGTTGAAACGATGCTGCCTGCCTAGGTAGGTGAAAGAGGCTACTTCCTTTACGTTCCTCCTATTGATGGTGATTGGACCTTGTTGTAGTTGGTGGTGGCGTTGGTTGGGTATCATCATCACCTCTATCTTCTCTATGTTCACTTGAAGTCCCGTCCTCGCTGTCCTGCCTTTTCCGTTAACTTGTTAGTTTTTGCCTATAGATCTTCAAGTTTGTGCAACAAGACAGTAGATATAAGTCATCATCGACGGTGAAATCCAGATCTTCTAGGCTCTTTTCCCAGGTCCAGAGTATCCCCCTCTTCTCGCTCCTCATTGTTTGCTGCATGATCCAGTCCAGTCCACCACAATCAGGAAGATCATCGGTGATGGTAAACAGCCACATTGTCTTTCTCCTGTCTTCGATTTAAACGCATCACTGAGCTTCCCATTGTGAATTACTTGGCTGGCATGTGGCGTCTTCATATAGTTGTTGAATGAGGTTGACAAAGGTTTGTGATATTCCATAGTGTTGAAACATCTTCAAAAACTTATTTCCTCTTAATGCACAGTTAACATGAACTTAAAGTAGTCAGAAGTGTTATTAAGTGAAACCTTGTGCGCATAATAAACGTGCATACAGTAGTAAAACCGGTACGTTATGCTGCTATTCTACCAAATAAACTTTTATTTTTCTCTGTTGTCCATTTGTCTGGGGTCAAAGAAAGAACAAATAAATACACAGGTCGCAGCAAATACAAGTCTATGCTACATTACAGTGGTTGTGAAGTGAATAGCTTCCATCGAATGTCAAATTTACTACTACGGTTAAGTTATGTCCTACATCTAATCAAAAGCTGACTTGAAGTTGCAGTGGTTTTGTTCGAGGACTAAGTGGATATTTCAAAAACATATCACTGATTAGATGGACAATGGCGTTCTTCTCATTTCTTTATCACCAAATTTATGCAGAAATAGGAAAACTTTGAAGTCATAGAGCGAAAGAAACACGATAATAATTGATACATATATCTAGAAGTATTCGAAGTACGCATACGTTATTAGAAATCTAAACTTGACGTGTAGGAATCATAATCTTACTTGCATCTTCCTCTCCATTACTTTTGCGACCTTGTTCATTTCCCATAGCAGCGAACCCACTTAGATCATACTGTTCAGTGTCTATCTCTGTACCTAACCCGAGTTGTTGAGAATTTTGTTGACAATACCTTCATGCATTAATTCAAAGTGTTTGTGTAAGAGACTTTGACTACTAAACGTTTTTCCACAAAGACAACAAATGCTGATAAGTTCACCTGAAAGTGGTACATTGAAAAGCTTGCTTTACCATCATCACAGGCGTCAGCGAAAGTTGGTCCAGCACCTGTTGGCTCATTCATTTTAAAAGTCTGGAAATATGAAAATACGTAAATGACATCAAACAAATGAAACGTTAATTCAGTAAAAGATCAGTGGATAACAAAAAGTTGTTTTGAAAACAGTCAGTCAACTAATAGCATCGTACACGGGTTAATACCCAGCTTCTACGTTATAATTCGAAAAAATACAAAAGATGGGCTATAGCTGATATTACTTAGCTGCCCTAACTTTAGTGGTTAATATGTCTCAAACTCAATATCGGCTGCTCGAAATTAGATTACGTAACCTAATAAACCATAGTTTTCAATGCAGTGAATCCAAATCTCTACTGACAGCATTCGACTGCTTCAACAGAATGACTCACCTTCCGAATTAGAAACAGCTCTGCTTTATGTCAGTACTAACTCTACTTCATCATTATCATTCTAAGCTTTCATACAATAGGTATCATAGGTGACCGAAAAACATTTATCAAATCAAAATTTAGTCATATGAAGAATACATTCAGTGTATCATATATTTTTGACATACATTTAAAAAAATCAACATAGAACCTCACAAAGAAGTGCATTGGTTCAAGTCACCACACTTCACAGTAGCATGCGGAGAACAAGTGGATAGAGAAACTCATCAAAGCAGACAAAAGTGTGTATGGGAGGAGTTAGAATTTGAAAACGAAAGTTAGTGAAAATATTCAAGCTTTGGAAGACGTCAAAGAGTGAATATATCTGCATCACTGCAACCGATTTTCAACCATATCACCAAAGGTTTCCAACTATTTAATCCTAGGGTTATGGGGACTGCACTCAGGTAGTCTACATCTTTTCATAACTAATACCACCAGTGAGTGACTTCATGTATTTGTCCCACGTCTTGATCTGGTCACCCTTAGTTTTCTTCCAACCTAATCTAAATTTTTCTAGCATCGCACACTAAGGCAGCTGGTGGCCAGGCATGCGCAACACATATCTAAGCTACTGCAGTCAACGGAAGTCCACAACTTCATCGACCACCTTCCCTTCCTTGCCTAGTACCCTTTGCCTGACCTCGATATTACTCACACGGTGATCCTACCGTACAAAGATATGTTTCAAATCCTGTAATCTTTTCATTTCTAGGACATATTTCAGGGTTTTCTAAGACTTAAAAAAATGCGGTTTCGGTAGAAAAAGATTATATTCGAAGGCTGGATTAGTTGTGTATTCTCAATTGTTTCATCCAGTGGTAGAGGGCAGAAAAAGAATCGGGTAAACAGACAAAACGTAGAACCTGGCACAAGCGAGTTTTGTTCTGAGTAACTACATACTACGCTATCGAAAATTACGAAATTTTATGGTAAATTGAACGGGTATGGGGAAGTTACGGGGAAAATGACAAGGTAGTCAAGACTTCGTAACTGCATCACCTAGAGCCTTCGACTGTTGATTCATAGCATTTACAAGATCCTGGTCAAAACCTAACTACATCGTTTGAAAAGTCAGATACTTTATGGTAGATAGTATCTTCCAACGAAACACTATTACAGCTAGCACTGAAAACCATGGAAGTAAATCGACGTAAAAGTAACAAGTCTTTTCTGTGCTAGACAATTCAGTTAGGACGAGCCGTAGTTTTGTTGACGGGCTTGCCCTTTATTGATTTTTACAATGTTCACCGGGTGATTCCATCAGCTATAAGTAACGCTTTGAATGAACCTGTGATTGAGTACTCATAACCCTTTGCATCGTTCATAGAGTTGTGGTACATTGGCGCTGGGGTGAGATTTCAACCGGTGGGTAGGATTAAAACTCCGCTTCATCAACCGAGACTCAGGTGACCAGGTTGTATCAAAAGCCCACTTACAATAGATGCAGCCCCGTTGCCCTATTTATGAATCTGCAAAAACTTGCTGAGCGAAATTATTTCTTGATCATTACTCAAGTCAACTTCCACTAAACATAGAGATAAATAGAGTAGACTGCTGCAAAATACCCTCATGCTTTCTAAGACAAAGGAATACCTTCCGTTTAAGTTTCCTTATCAGATGTGTCACAGTTGCTACACCGACGTTAACGAGCAATACTGACTAGAACTATTGGTCTTCAAAGCCCCATGATGCCATGTTCTGTTGAAATGTATGTAGGGTCAAGTTAATTACTGTTATAATCTAAATAAGAAACACCATGGAAGAGCAATTAACAAAAGGCAATTTAGTAAAGAAAACTTCTTTTTGAGAAACTATGTGCAAAAGCTGTACAGTCGTAATCATAGTGACGAACCATGGAAGAGGTTTGGAGACAAAATTACACCACTGTTAGAATAGGAGTGACGGTGATAAGCAGCTTCCTTTAATTAACCAGAATTCCCACTGTGCGATTTTCTCGCTTGGCAGAACAACGGATACATAACGTCGGTCCTGAGAATTAAGTACACTGCTTGCCCCACAGCTCCTCTTCGCTGGCAATAAAATAAGTAGCAATCCATCTCAACAAACATGTTTAAGTAGCCATTTTGACCAACGTGAAGCAAACAATGCGCCATGATCATGCAAAACTAATTTACTTTCTATTTCAGATACATCAAGAAGGCATCAACTATCATGGTGTGAGTAACTGGGATAGCTGCTACCATGAAGTGGTGGTTGGGCATGGATATCACAATGACCCAACGAGCTACACTGGCTGGAACGCTTGTTCTCTCGAGATTCTAACATGCCAAAAAGGTATGTTCGATAGTGGTAAGATGCAAAGTAGTTACATTTATGCTGTAAGTTGCAATGCTACGATGAGGTACGAGGGCTAAGTCGTAGTGCCGATCGGAAAGAGGCGTTACAACAGTGGGGTGATCAGCAGTGTCACACTGATGCCGCCTCCCTAATGGGAGGGGGACGAAAAGTCGACCACAAGCATTGCACTGCCCTCTACCCCGCACCATACTAGTACCAGCCGTATGGGTACGTAGTCAGGTTCGAGAAAAGCAAACAAAGATCTTAAACTTCTTATAAGGAAATGTGAGAAACCTCGAATAGATATCCTTTGGCCTCTGCGTTTACACACTAGCCTTACACGGCATGGGTAGACGGAAAGTGCAAACCACTCGCACACATCCAGTAGGATACACAACTGAAAAATCGAACATAACATACCCTCCTTACCTCTATCTGCCCCACTGACTTCACTTAGTGCTACTAATTATTAAACCCTTTTAACCTTACACACCCTGCGACCATTAAAAACAACCAATTCTACCAAAACAATCATTCCTAGTCTCCTAAGACCCCGCTGTAAGTCCTACATTGGAGATTTAAACGTTCGAATCCTATGCCGAATTGGACAGTAGGCACTGCTCGCAAGAACTTTGAAATCTCGAGCCAAGTTGGTGTGCTGAGTTTCTCAGACACGTATAAAAGGACTTTAGTGTGGTTGTTAACTTGACCAATGCAGGAAATCTTCAGAACTCACCTTATGAGTATCCGCAGACTCAATGGCTAGCTCTTGTGGATTCGGTAGTGTTGGCACAACACTAAGCTGTAGAGAAGAAACCGTACTGCTCGACCGAGTAATAGTCACCATTCATCTATGTGCTATCCGACTGAATGGGTTTGTAAGAACTAGGAAGGGTTGTGAGACTCGCCCATCTATTTTTCATCGCCTACGCGCCGACCAACTGCAGTCAAATGATGCAGAGCATCAATTCTATCAAAAACTGTCAATTTGGACACATGGAGAAAATTTTTTAGAGGTAGTTGTAATAGCAGGCCACCTTAACGCTCCAGCAGGAAAGATGAGCTAATCGGAAAGGCATTTTGAAGATATCTACGAATCCCGTGTCAACGAACAGATAACAGTGATCGTCTCTTGGAATTTCATTCTGACAAGCGTTTGTTTCTGACCACCACTAACTTTAGGCATAAGGAGAAACGCTGTCTCACAGCATCCGCTGACATAAAACCATCGATGGACACAGAAAATGTTGCTGTGGGCCATCGTTGGAAAGGACGGGTGAAGGACTAGCGCTCTTTCTAGGGTACTCTTATGGACTCCGATTACCCATTAGTACGAGTACATTGTGTCTGCACCTTACCAGTTGGAGAAAACAGACGGCAGTCAACAATAAGCATACTGGATTGGAAGATGTGAAGGTGAAGTAAGTATTTAGGGAAACAGCTAAGCATTTATCTAAACATGACAGCAATGCTCATTCTGAGGAAAACTGGCGTGATATTAAGTCTACTGTAGAAACAGTGGTAACGAGGGTTGGAAAACTACATCAGAAGGTTAGCAAACGTCATTAGCTTTCCGCAACGTCAACCGAACTGATTGATGCAAGAAGACCAAGTCCAACTGGCTGTGACTACGAGCGTAAGCAACTCAAACAAACTGACGAGGAGTCTTCGTATCAATCGTGAGCGGCGAGAGCAAGAGAAATGGAGAAGGCATCAGCTTTAGATAGCACCCGCCAATTATTCAGGTCTATTAAGGACACCGGCCAGAAGAATATGATGGTTGGTGAAACCATAAAAAACGGATGGGACGTTGATAACCACTTAGAACAGGCAGCCAGAACGTTTGGCAAAGCACTTCGAAGCACAGTTGATCTGATCCCTCAGAAACACCTAACATCGAGCCTGAACCTAAATGGGATGCAGATGTCAGTCCTCCAACTCTCCTTGAAGTTGAGAAAGCTGTATCAAACCTTAAACGATGCAAAACAGAAGAAGCTGACAGTTTGCCACCTGAAGTTTTCATGAATGGAGGCAAGAAATTACTAATTAAGGTGACGGAGGTACTAGGTGGTGTATGGGGATCAGAGGTGGTGCGGTCAGTTTGGTGTAATTCCTTGGTCATCCCAGTGTATAAGAAAAGTGAGAATTCATGTGACAGCTATAGGGGAATTAGTTTGACTAATATTGTGTCCGAGATCCTAGGTCCCATAGTTATGCAACGCCTAACTGGAGCTCGAGAAAGGCAAAGTTATGGAAACCAGGCTGGTTTCCGACCTGGTCGAGGGTGCATCCACTATGTCCATCCATCCATCCAAATCAACATAG